GTAAGTGTAAGGACGGGGACCTAAGTGAGGCCACGTGTTCATAGTGTTATTTGGGTTAGGGGTTCATTTATTCTCGATGACCAGACACATGATGTATGACTTCCCCCACCCGACAGGATGGGGCTGTTAGATTTCGAGAACAGCCACCCCGCCATCCCCACCCTGCATACCGCGGCCGCCAGACCCCAAGTGGCCGTGATGATCCCCGAGAAGCCCGGGTGTCCCTCCTCGCGCCCGGCCAACCCCAACCTGCATACCGCGGCCGCCAGGCACCCAATTGTCCCGATGATCCCCGAGAGTCCCAGGTGTCCCGCCTCGCGCCCGCGACGAGCACGACAGAACACAACATGGCAGAACAGAACATGACAGAACGGAACAGAGCATGACAGCACATGATGGAACACAGCTTATCAACATCATGGAAATAGAGCATAACAGAACGCCACCATAAATACAATAGCATAACATGGTATAACAGACAACGACATAACACAACAAATCGTAACAGAGCCGAGCATAACAAAGCACGCCTTGAGTGAACAAATCATACCATTGCACGGCATCACATAACATAGCATAACACGAGAGCAGAGCGTAGCGACGACGAACACGACAGAACATCACATGACACAACATACCGTTCCATAACATAACATAACACGAACAGGACAGGACATGGAAACTCATGACAAACTATAGACTGTAGCAACACCTGACAGAACATACCAGAGCAGAACATGGCATAACAGAAGACGACCTAACACAACATACTATAACCTCATCGAGAATGCCGCAGCACACCTTCGCATAAAAATATCGCCTCATGATACAGCAGCACATAACATAACACGGCAGGGACGCATAGCGAAGACAAACACGACAGCCCGCAAAAACTGACACAGCAGGACACGACACAACATAGCATAAACATGGCATATCATGACAGAACATAACATAGAAATTTCATGACAACATAAGGCATACCATAGCATTACACAACATACCATAACAGATCATGGCATAACAGAAGACGACGGAACACAACATACATAACATAACAGAAACGAGCATAGCATAACACATCTTGACATCCCATTTCATACCATGACACAACATCGCATAACATATCATAACACGACAGCAGAGCATAGTAACACATACTGACATAACAACTATACTATACTATACAGCGCCGAGCCGGCAACAGCCAGAACATCACATAACATCCAAGAGCAGAATCTGACAGAACATAAGACGACAACTTACAACATAACAGAACAGACCCGAGCATACCAGAACACAGTGAACATATCATACCATGACAACGCACCATAGAACATAGCACAGCAGGACAGGAGAGCATAGCGACGACGAACACGACATAACCCAACATGACACAACATAACATGCCATACCATAACACAATCATGACATATAATGACAGAACATAGCACAGCAACGTCATGTCAACGCCGAGCATAACGGCACATGACATACCATACCAGAAGAGAACATGGCATACCAGAATATGCCATAACGCAACATAGCATAACGGAATCGAGCATACCGCAACACACCTTCACACAACATAGCATCTCATGGCACAACATCACAGAACATTTTATAACACGACAGGGGCGCACAGCGACACATACCAGCAGAGCAGATCATACAATTCCATACAGCGCCGAGCCGTCAACAAAAATAGCATCACAGACCACACGAGCTGAACATGACAGAACAGAAGACGCCATAACACAACATACCATAACATATCCGAGCATAACATAACACACCTTGACAGAACATCTCATAACATATCATGACAGCGCCACAGAACATAGCATAACACGACAGCATACCATAGCGACACATACCAGCATAGCATATCATTATATACTATACTGAGCCGAACTGCCAACAGCATCTCGGAACAGAGCCTACGAGTTGAACATGATCTGCTATAACACGTCATGTCATGACATGGTGCCACAAAGCAGTTCACACCATACTATATCAAAGCATGTGGTGACAGAGATGAGCATAACAGACCATAGTCAACCAGAAGATAAGTCTATATCTATATATATATATATATATATATATATATATATAATATATATATCAGGAGGAACCCATAAAAAAAAAAAAAAAAAAAAAAAAAAAAAAAAAAAAAAAAAAAAAAAAAAAAAAAAAAAAAAAAAAAAAAAAAAAAAAAAAAAAAAACGCATAGAACGTCACAGGCGTCACGACGTCACGCCGGCCCGTCGAGAACAAAGCAGGAGGTAATGGAGCACAACATGCACAACATGGAAGAACGTGACTTTGAATCCAGAAGAGGCAGCTGTGCAGTGGTGGGAGGAGGCGGTAGGATGAGGAAGTATGTATGGAGCAGAGGTTCGCCTCACCTCCCTCCTCTGCCTCCTCCTCCTCCTGCTGATGCTCTTCCACTGCCTCTTTCAGCAGGCTGCGGCTTTCTATCCATTTCGCACCGCGCGTTTTCGAATATTGTTTTCCGGCCCGGGGGTTTCTTTCCAGTTCTTTCGTCAGGAACTCTGCGGCTGTTGGATGTGGAGGCAACGGAATTCGTCACCCGGCCCGACCGCCGCACTGGCCGAGGCCGCAGGGCCCCGCGCGCAGCGTTCCATAGGCGACCGCGCGCCGTCGGGAACAAACGCTTCAGGTTTCGGAGGGGATCGCTCGAAGCAAAATACTTGTCAAAACAAAATCCCCTGAAGTCCCGCCTCTTTTCCACGGCCGCCTCTCCATCCCGGGTAGTTTGTTGACGGTCCCAGGGCCTGGCGAAAGCACCCCCCGGGCCGAAAACGGCCAAAAAACAGTCCGTCAAGTTTGTTCACAACGCGAGGGCGGTCTGGGCTCGATCCTCCTCTTCGGCACCAAGCGCCCGACAGCCCGAAGTCGTAGTCGCGATTCAGCCGCCAGATCGCCCCTCGCATGTCCAGGGCGCCCAGGCCAGCGGCGACCCGCGGGGTGCCCTCTCGGGGTCAGGGTGGCCTCGTCCTCCTCGTCTTCGTCGTCCTCGTTGTCACCATCATCCCTGACCTCGTCCTCGTCGTCGTCGTCGACGTTGTCGTCGTCGTCCTCCTTCTCCAACTCCTCCAACTCCCTCTTCCTCCTCCTCCTGGTCCTCCTCCTCCTCCTCCACCTCCTTCTCCTCCTACTCTCCCCATCGTCCAACGTATTGCCCTTCTTCTGCTACTAGTCGTCATTATCCCTCTCTTGTTCCTCATACTCCTCCTCCCCCTCCTCCCCCTCCTCCAGCTTCTCGTGGTTGCCGCTATCCTCGTTTACCTCCTCCTTCTCGTACTCAAGCCAAGCCATCTGATCAGCATCAACATGATTATCATCATCAGCAGCATCACCACTATCATCATCATCAGCATCATCATCATCATCATCATCACAATCACAATCATTATACGTATCATCAGCATCATCATCATCCTCATCGGCATCATTTTAATCACCATCATAGTCAGCATCGTCACCAACTTTTTTCAGTAGTAGTATCATCATCACCATCACCATCACCGTCACCGTCACCATCACTACCACCATCACCATCATCAGCAACATCATCAGCAGCAGCAGCACCATCATCATCCTCAACAGCATGGTCATCATCATCAGCAGCCTCATCACGATCAGCATCATCACAGTCGTGCTCTTCCCTCCTCGCCGCCGCCCCCTCGTAGAACTCCTCCTCCTCCTCCTCCTCCTCCTCTTCCTCCTCCTCCTCCTCCTCCTCCCGAGGGGGGCGTCAGCCCCGCGGGGTCCACGCGGTTCGCCGCGAACCCGCGACGGTGGGCGCGCGGCGCGGTCATCGTACCTCGCTGCTGCACTGCTGCGGCTCCCTCTCCTCCTCCTCCTCCTCCTCCTCCTCCTCCTCCTCCTCCTCCTCCTCCTCCTTTGCATGCAACGGGCCTTTGAGGCAGCGCGGGCCGCTGCAGAGTTGGAACCACTGGAGCCCATCACTGAGTGGGACGTACGTAGGGCGGCACACGCGATGAGGGCCAACACTGGCCTGGGAGCAGATCGGATGACCCCGATAGACGTGGAGAGGTTGCCGTCGGAGGCGCTGGTGGAGTTGGCCGAGCTGCTCAACACCATCGAGCGGACGCTAGCGTGGCCGCACCAGGCCCAGCTCATCATCGGAAAGTTGTTGCCGAAGAAGATGAATGGCGACCGTGTGATCGGGTTGGTGTCGTTCTTGGGCCGATTGTGGTCGCTCATCCGCGAGGGTCATGTTCGACAGTGGTGTACTATTGTGGAGGCGGAGTGGGACGCTGCTATTGCTGGCAACGCATCGCTCCGCGAGGGGTTTCATCGGACCCCGCAAGAGGAAGTTGCAGGGGCCCGAGGGGCACCTCATGGACACGGCCCCATGGACGTGAAAGGATTCTACGACAGTATTGAATGTGATATTCTGACGGATGTGGCATTAAAATTATCGTTCCATCCTGTCATCTTGTTTTTAGAGTTGTCACAATGTATGGTTCCCAGAATGGTCGAACAAATGGGAGCCGTCAGCGAGCCGTTTTTTTGGCAACATGTAGTATTATTCAGGGTCTAAGATCTGGAACCCGATTTGCGAAGTGTATGACTCATTATGTGATGTCCAACATCAGTTGTTCTCATAAGCATGTGTCTCATAGGTTGTGGATAGATGATATTTCGCAAAGTTTAGCTGGTTCCATACAAATGGTTGTAACATATGTGTCATAATGTTTAGCTGGCACCGCGGAAGAGTTGAAAAAGGTGAAGTTGCATATTGCTCCTAAGTCCTGTGTGGTCTGCTCCCATCACGGCGACGCGAAGGAGATCGTACGACGTATGCGACGCCGAGGCTACACGCTCCAAGCTCAGCTACAGGCTGGGTTTTAGGAGTAGACCTGGGCGGAGGACGGAGGACTGCCAGAGAGGTGCGGACCAAGCGGGGGCTCAAGCAGAAGAAGCTCCATGCGAAGGTGGTGCGCTTCGCCAGGGCCTCCAAGCGCTACAAGGTGACGTCCAAGCTCGAGCGACTCGGCGCTCAAGCAGCGGGTACGCACGGGCAGGCTATTCACGGCACGTATGGGAGGAGGCTCCAGCAGTGTCGTCGTGGGCTTGCAGCCGTCAGCAATGCAGGAGGTAAAGGTATAGATATCACGTCTCGTTTGTCGGTTCGTGCTCCAGGCCAAGATCCTGGTGTCAAACTCCCTCATGATGTTATAGCGTTGTGGTTGCAGCAGTGGTTCTCTTGCCCGCACATCCGTCCATCGGTGTATCGAGCGTGGCCGAAGGTGCTGCAACGGATGGAGGCCATGCCCCCGTCTCGGCGGTCTAGATGGACAAGAGGACCGATGTCTGCAGTCCTCCTGACGTTGTTGGAGCGCGGTTGGCACCCCGAGACCCCCACCAAGTGGCACTTGTCAGATGAGATTGTGTGGGAATTCCCCGAAGAGATGTATCATGAGCAGCAAGCACTTAATAATGTCAAGGCTTCCTTCGACGACCTTGATCAGTCAACGGCGGTGCAGTACTGGCAGATGCTTCCCGACATTTCTGTGACAGTGGCTTACAATATGGAGTGGATATTTTTTCTCTGGGGTGGCTGCTCAAATATCTTGAAGCTCTCCCTCGTGGACGGAGGTTAGCGGAGGTCATGGTCTCCATCAGTGTCGATGGCTCATGGCCGCGTGAGCGGCGCGCAGCGGCCACAACCAAGCAAGAGGTCTGCCCGCTTTGCCCTCGTTGTCGGAAAGAGGTTGAGTCGGCCTTTTCACCGCAGCTGGATTTGCGAGAAGAACGTCGAAGCAGAAGCGTATCGTCGGTCAGGCGACCTGCTTCCTGCAGCCGCGGCACAGCATGAGTGTGATCAGGCTTTCTGGCTGCGCGGGCTGATCCCCCGTAGCTGGACGAAAGTCACACCTCCTTGTGCGGCGGAGGCTTGGGTAGGCAGTGGGCTCTTTCGCAATGGAGTTGACGACGATGCTGCAGGACCAGGTTCAGTTTCACAGCCAATCGTTCTCTTCGGTGATGCTTCGGGTGGTCCTGACTCCAAGGACCCCCGCTTTCGCCGTGTTGGATGCGACCTGGTGTTAGCGAATGGCGAGGAGGATCTGACCATCCAAGGCGTCGTCATGGGCCCTCTGCCAGGGAGCCAGACGGTTTCCCGTAGTGAGTTGTATATGCTATGGATGGCAATTCGTGTTTCCACAGATCACCTAGTTTACATCACGGACAACCAGTCAGTTTACCAAGGCTGGTACGACAAGCATCTCATGAATCCGAGTGGAGAGTCTGCAGAATTGTGGGCACGTATTGGAGAAGAGATGCGTCGTCGGCCAGCCGAGCATATCATTGTGCTGTTCGTGAGCTCTCACATGACGGCGGCAGAGGCGGCAGCCGCATGTGTACCAAGACAGTTGGTCTGCGGGAGCGCCATGGCGGACGTCGTAGCTGGAGAAGCGGCGAGAATGGCCAGGCTACCCCAAACAGATCGAGCACGAGTGGCACAAGTGGAGCATCGTGCCTTCCTGGTACGAATGAGGCTGCTGCGGGCGGCCATGGACTCGATGGCAGCGGAGGAGGCCCGAACGAGGGCCCAGCAGGACTGCCACCGAGGGGATGTGAGTGAGGGAGGTGTCCTTTCTCCTCCTCCGCCTCCTCCTCCTCCTCCTCCTTTGCAGCTTTGCTTTCCGCCGCCGTGCCCCGAAGCTGTGTCCATCCTGTCCAGTTCGCACGCGCTGGACGATTCGGGGCGTCGGTGCCGCAGGTGTCGTGGCTCTGCGTCGATCGCCGAGCGTCGGAAGTGGAGAGCTTCGCCGTGTTTCAAGCTTGTGGCTTTGGACTGTGCGGTGAGAACCCTTCCCCAGGGGGCGGAGTTGCACATCGCTGGGGGGTGGGTGCACGGGTCTCACAGGCTAAGATATCATCAGGACGTCAATGTATGGTTCTGTGCTGTGTGTGGCATGTTTGCAGATCAGCAGCTGCTTGGGTTGGGGAATCAATGCGTGTATAAGACCACCCCGACCCGAGCTGGCTATTTAGCCAGAATTAAGGATTCGTTGTGGCCCAAGGCCCTCACGGCGGCCCAGAGGGCCAAGAGAGTCCAGAAGGGGCTCCCCGTGTAATGCGTCAGAGGTCGGACATCGTCCAGGGACTCTTACTCTTACTCTTACTCCTCCTCCTCCTCCTCCTCCTCCTCCTCCTCCTCCTCCTCCTCCTCGGATCGGGCGCTGCTGCCCTCGATCTCTGGCGGCGCGCACACGAAGGGGGCGGGGGGTGGGGGCGCGAGGGGGGCGGCCCGCTGAGCAAGCGGGGGGGACTCTCAGAAGGGGGGCGAGGGTCCTGGAAGCCCTCCCGGCTTCCGAGAAGCCCCCTGGGAAGCCTCCAGGCCGCAGCTGCCCCGGTGCGCAGCACGCAACACGCAGCGCATTGACGCGGGGCTGAACACGTAGACTAAAAACGTAGGTCTGGCGCCATGCGTTCGCCGCAACGTCGACCAACACGTCCCGAACCAACACGCAGCATGGTCACATGGACGTTGTGAATACGGCACGTGTCGCGTTTCAACACGGGCGTATGAGGGCAGCTAAGCTCCGGGCCCTTCTCAGAAGCCCTCTACCCGCCTTCGAAGAAGCCACCCTTCCCTCTTAGAAGCCCGCCCACCGCCCCCCCCCCCTCCCCTGCGCTGGCCACGAGGATCTGCATTCGCAGCTGCAGCTGCTAAGGAGGGCAAGGGGGCCATCTTGGCGCGGCGAAGGGCATCGCCTTCATCCCGGCCAGTGCCCAGGGGGGGCGCAAATAGGGTTACGTCGGGCATGTCCTCGTACAAGCAGACCTTGCATGACAAATAATACCTAGTCAAACAAATAGCAACAACATGCTCAAAAAAACTGAAAATCGTTCCCAGATAATTTGTTTACTATTTTTAATATTCCTCCTGTAGAGGGACACGCCCGACTTGCAAATAGGGAGTTCGCCACCCATTCCAGGACACGGGCCCCCGTGGACTCCCCGCCCCCCTCCGCGCCGCCAAGACCTGCAGTCGCAGCCGCAGCTGCTAAGTAACGCAAGGGATAGGAGGCCTAGAAATGGGCACCAACACCAACACAGGGGGTTGCCTCCACATGGGGAAGATGGTCCTAGATGTCGGTGTTGGTGGCAATAGTTCGGTCACCTTGGAAGCAAGAATATTATCACCATCACCGAGATCGGGATCTTCTTCCCTCGGTGGAGGCACACCACCGATATTGGTGTTGCTGTCAACCTCTACGCCTGCGAAGGGGTGCCCTCTCGGTGCGGCGGGAAGGCATCGCCCCCACCCCTGGAAATGCAAAGGGAGGTCGCCACTGGGGGGTTGTCAACTCCTCTCCCCCGACCGCCCACGGCTCCCCAGGACCCCCGAAGACGCTCCAAGAAACGTCCAACACTTCCTCGATCCCCTATCCCCCCTCCTCCTCGATCCCCGATGTCCAGGAGGAGGAGGGAGGGGGGAGGAGGAGGAGGAGGAGGAGGAGGAGGAGGAGGAGGAGGAGGAGGAGGAGGAGGAGGAGGAGGAGAGGAGGAGGAGGAGGCAGGAGAGAAGGATGCGGAAGGAGGAGGAGGAGGGAGGACGAGGAGGAGGAGGAAAAGGAAGAGGAAGAGGAAACGGAGGAGAAATATGAGGGGGTGGAGGAGGAGGAGGAGGAGAAGGAGAAGAAGGAGGAGGAGGAGGAGGAGGAGGAGGAGGGGGAGGAAGAGGAAGAGGAGGAGGAGGAGGAAGAGGAGGGGGAGGAAGAGAAGGCGACACCCTCAGTGGTGACGCCACTGGCCCTGCCCGACCCCTCTCCTCGTCCTCGTCCCGAAGCGCTGGGGCACCGGGCTCCACGCCACCGGGCACCGGGCACCCGTGTCTGGCACGCGCAAGCGGCCGCGGCCCCGCCTCGCCTCGGCCGCCGAGGGCCCGATATGGCTCGCACGGGCTCGCCGGGGCGCCCCCGCCGTGAGGCCTCGTGAGGGCCCTCGCGCCATGCGCCGCAGGGTGCCCCTGGTTCGGATCGAGGGTTGCTAACGCCTGGCCCCTGACCTTCCAGAGAGCTATTTTTTAGCACTGGAAACCTAAAAACCTAAAAAACGAGACGAAACAGCCTAAAACCAAGACGTAAAATTGCTCTGGGATAGGTTTTTACGTCGGGTGCTATTTCTTAGCCCTCCTGGAAGGTCAGGGGCGCTGGCGCAGGAGGCACAAGAATTCCATGTGACGCAGCCATCCCTCGGCTGGGAATGGGACTCGCCCGGCGTAGGGTGGACCCGCCTGCGTTGCCAGAGCGCTGTCCGAATGGCGGATAGAAGCACGCAGCTCTGATTATCATAACTATCGGTTCGTTGGACTCCGTTGCATGTGTGAAGAATTTGAGTAAGCATCATAGTCTATTCCGTAAGTGTGAATTTCGGTCCAACGATTATGTAGATTGCACGGCTCTTGATTGTGCAGAAACCTAAAAACCGAGATTGCGGTTTCAAGCCACACCTTACACCCAATTCGTTGATGGGTATCTACTGGTTTCGCCCTTGTACCCTGGGGGGGGGGCTGGCGGAATGTCGAACACGGCCGAAAACATGCCGTCGCGATGCTCCCCCGCCGCTAGCTTGTCAGTGACCGATGGGGCGTTCGAGACTCGGGGGCGCGCAGACATGGATTAGCGATCCATGGATTTGCTGCGCGGTCGCCAAATTCATGGATCGGGGGAGGGGCCCTCCCCAAAATGCCGCCGGTGCCGCCTCGTTCGGAGGCGGAAATCCGTGATTCCCCATGGAAACTGGACCCGACGCTAATCCACGCCCCCTTGATCCATGTTTGGCAAGACCAAAAGGTGCCGATACCGCTACTCCCCGGACCTCTCCCAGGGTGCGTTCTGACCAGAGTTTCGAGGCGGATCCAGCGGTGGCGACGAGGGCCTCCGAGGAGGCCCAACAAGGGGAAAACGAGCGAGGGGTAGAGGTATGGGTACCGTTTCCTCCTCCGACCCTGGATCCCATGTTTCTGGCCATCGCTCGGACGTCCATGTCCTGTGCTTTCTTCGGTTTCGTGAGTGGCTTCTTCGCCAAATGATCAAAGATGCTCCTCGATGGTCCTCGCCGAAGGAAGAATGCACACGTCCGAGCGATGCCAAGTGTCTGCGATCGCCTGAGAGCCGTGGTCGGGCCCGAGAGGCGAGACGAACGCCACGGCCTCCCCCCGGGGCGAGTGTCCAAGCGTCTCTGAAGGGGCCCTGGGACACGCAAATAAATACACACAAATAAAAAGATTCCCCATATTTTCCCATTTTTTCTTGGTTTCTGTCTTCCCCCCGACTTCCCATATTTTCCCATATTTTCTGAAAACCGACGATTGCAGTAATTGTGTCTGTGTGTTTTTTCCCCTCCTGAATCTCGGGGGATCCCTGGCGCCCGCCCGCCCTCCCGGGAGGGCTGGCCAGGCCGGCCCCCCTAGAGAGCCTTCGCGGGCGGCTCGGGTGCGCCAAAGAGGGGCGCCACGAAACATCAACGCAGGGCCTTCGCACGTCTGCGAGAAAAAAATACGTTTTTGTGGGATCGATCTTGCGAAGCAAACGTCTGGGGGTAAATCCTATGCGAAGGAAGGGTCGATGTCCTACGCGAACGATGCTCCTAGTCGATCTCGTACTCGAACGTTCTCCCAGTCGATCTCCTAGGACATCTCCTGATCGAACGATTCTCCGAGTGGATTATCCTACTCGATTCTCCTACTCGAGCGATTCTGCGAGTCGAGTGAAACCTATCACCGTGGCCCCGAGGCGTCTTCGGCGGCGCGCCGAGGGGAGAGGTGAGCGGGGGCAGGCCTTTTGGGAGGGCGGCGGGGCATCTCGGGGACCCTCGCGCCCTCTGATCAGATTTCAAGAGATGTGGCTTGACGCATTGGAGCTTGTTCGATCCACGGGCACCGGCCTCTCCAGAATTGCTGGAAAGCAGCAGTCAAGACACCGTGCAAGGTTGCTGGGCCTGGGGCACTGGCAACTGATCAGACCTCTGCTGCTCCTGATGATGCTGCGCCCCCTGATGCGGAAGACGCGGAGGTGGGCCGAACATCTTCCGGACAGTGTCAGGGGAGAGAGGATAGTAGTATTCGCATCGTGCCACTGTGGAGGAGGAGGAGGAGGAGGAGGAGGAGGAAGAGGAGGAACAGGAGGAGGAGGAGAAGGAGGAGGAGAATGCGGAGGGGGGGGAGGAGGAGAAGGAGGAGGAGGAGGAGGAGGAGGAGGAGGGGGAGGGAAAGGGAGAGGAGGAGGAGGAGGAGGAGGAGGAGGAGGAGGAGGAGGAGGAGGAGGAGGGGGAGGGAGGAGGAGGAGGAGGAGGAGGAGGGGAAGAAGAAGGCGCGGCACACTTTTCAGAGGGCCGGGGCCCTGCTGAACCTTCTGACGAGGGGGCGGGCCCCCTTCTGCGTTCGTTTCCCCCCCCATCCCCCCCGGGTCGCGCAGCCGACACGTAAGTGGGTGATGGGGGCAGGCCAGGGGACGTTGTCGAAAGAAGCAGGGCGGGCGACGAAGCCCGGAAGATGTCAAGGCCCAGGACGTGATATCCACACGCCCCTAGACGCTCCCATCCTCATCTCTCCTCCACCCCCTCCTCTCCTCCTCTCTCCTTCCTCCTCCTCTCCCCCTCACTCCTCCTCACTCCTACTCCTACTCCTACCTCACTCCTCCTAATCCCCTCCTCCTCCTCCAAAATCCACTACAAACGCCCTCTTACCCTCCTAGTACGCACGCGATAACAAAAGAAAAACACTGGCGGACTGCCCGAGGGACGCCTGGGAGTTATATCTCTTCGTCCACCTTGCGTCTTGTGTGGTGCCCCAGGGGTCCGCGGGCCGATCGGAGGAAACCGTATTCTCTTGGGGCACCCGCTGGCAGGCAAATCTCTTTGCCCTCGACCATGCCCCCCCTCTTCTGGCCGACCCAGCTGGTCCTTGGATCTCAGGCTGGTCAGTTCGTCGTACAGCTCGCCAAGCGCCTCGGACGAGGGCACACCCACCGTCACCAGAAAGCTCCTGCCAGCGGATAGACATGCTGACATCTGCTATCCAGCCCGTTGTGCCGCCTCCTCCTCGCCCGCCCTGCCATGCATACTCCTTCCCCTTCCCTCTCGTCCCTCCAATCGTCCTTGCAATGAAGGGCGTAGTGTGTCGATCTCCGCTTAGCGAGCTGGGGCGCGGAAAGTGCGATGGGCGAGAATGCTCGGGGACGCACGCGACCGTGCTCGCGAGACCGCGCGGTGACCCCTGAGTCCCCCGCACGGCTCGCCACCGCACGGTGCTGAGACCCTGGAGACCCCAGCCCACGGCGTCCTCGGAGAACGACGCGAGTCCCAAGACCGCGCTTTCACCCCGAGTCCCCGCCGACTCACCACTCTGGCCTTCCTCCGAGCGTTTGGTTTCTGGGTTCTGGGCCTCGACTCGGGTCTCCGGCGGCCCTTCATGTTGCTCCGGGTAAGACCCGGAACGATCTCGGCGAGGCGCAGCCGCTGGAGCGCATCCCGAGGCAGGAAGACGCCAAGGCACCCTTGAAAACGTCCGAAAGCCAGAGAGTGCTATGTGCGACCTGGTCTAGAACAGGAACATACCGTAGATGGATCTACCCTGTCTCCGAACGTGTACTAAGCCGACCGCAGCGGCCGCTTTATCTATAGACGCACCCACCCCGGATGCATATCCATACGTAACGGCACCCACTGTGCCCATAGACGATTGTGGCTAGAAGTGACTGTGGTATTTGGCATCTACCTGAGATCTTGGTTCTTGGAAGCAGGTAGACTTTGCCCTCTTATGTCTGGGGACCCCCGACGGGAAGAGGTTAGAAGGCAACTCATGGGAGGTCTTCGTCATATCTGCTCATGGCTATATAAGCCCGAGCTTTTTCATAGTAACACACACACGCGCACTGGGCCAAATCAGGCCATAGAAAGCATGGTGGGATTGAGTTGGCTTGCACGGGACTGGCTAGGATTGGGACGGATCTGGCGAGATTGCTCCGAATTGGGCCAGTTCTCGACCTGGGATGTGCGAGCGCCGATCCGGGACTCAACCTCCCAGGAAGTGTCCCCCAGAATGAAGGGGAACTGGGACACACAAATAGATACACACAAATAAAACTATTCCCCATATTTGTTCATACTTTATGGGTTTTTGTCTTCCCCCCCACTGCCCATATTTCCTCATATTTTCTGGGAATCGCCGATTAATTGTGTCTGCTTGTTTTTTTCCTCTCCTGACAGAGGAGGCGGGGGGGCGTTGCCGCAAGCGCGCGCGCCACTCCTGCTGCTGCCGCCGCCCCACGCGCGGGGCCCGCCTGCGGAAGGGGGGTGAGGCGGGGGAGGGGCAGGGAGGCAGGGAGGGAGGGAGGAAGGGACGAGGAGGGAGGCGGAGGAGAGAGGAGGAGGAAGAGGAGGAGGAGGAGGAGGAGGAGGAGGAGGAGGATGTGGAGCGAGGGGAGGAGGAGTGAGAGGGGCGGAGGATGAGAGTGGAGGAGATCGAGGATGGAGGGGGGGAGGCGGAGGAGCGAGGACGAGGGAGTTGCCTGTGTGGAAAATGGAGGAGGAAGTGGCAGCGGTGATGGGGGATCAGCGCCGAAGAGGAGGCGACGGGGGCGAGGGGCGGACCCTCGTGAGGGGGCAAAAGGGTAGGAGGGGAAGGAGTGAGGAGGAGGAGGAGGAGGAGGAGGAGGTGGAGAAGGAAGGAAGAGGGCTGGAAGGGAACGGCGTTCCGCGGCAAGCCAATACCTTAGCCTCCTCCCCCCTCCCGGCGCTTCCGGGCTGGAGGGGTTCGAGGGCCACAGCTCTCAAAGGACAGAGGGGAGGCAGGAGAGGGAGCGCGCCCAGACGGCGGCCGCCAGCCCACCCTCGGCCTTTCGCCCACAGGTCTCGGACCAGCGGCCGCCGGCTCCCTCGGCACACCAACGGTGAGTGCTGATCAGAGGAAGAGGGAGAGGAGGAGGAGGAGGAGGAGGAGGAGGAGGAGGAGGAGGAGGAGGAGGAGGAGGAGGTGGGCGGGTGGGGAGGAGGAGGAGGAGGAGGAGGAGGATGAGGAGGGGGAGGAGGAGGAGGAGGAGGAAGAAGAAGAGGGGGAGGAGGACCCCGGGCGCTGCTTGTTCTTCGCACGGAGCATTTTTCTCTCCTCGCTTCGGGGCCTGGGGCCATCACGCATCGAGCCGGCTCGGAGAATGGCGCAGGCAGACGTTGTCTAGAGATCTGGTCGTGATTTCTCGCGGTGTTGGATATGTTCAGGACGTCGGATCTCAGAGGAGGGAGGACGAAGAGGAGGAGGGAGGAGGAGGGAGGAGGGAGGAGGACGGACGACGAGGGGGGAGGAGGGAGGAGGAGGGAGGAGGGAGGAGGACGGACGACGAGGGGGTAGGCGAAACGATGAGGAGGTCCAGTGTAAACCTAGACGCAGCAATGATGTTGCAATACCCCTCGATTTTTTCCGAAGTCCCTAACAGAGTTGATTGCATTGCGGAAAGTGCCCCATTGAAAGACTACCGTATGATAGTCTCCAGTCCCCCCCCAAACATAATTCTTGGGAGACCACCGCCGCGAATCAACGCGACTGTTGCGTCCTGACCGACCTAAACTTGCACAAACGCATCATTCCTGTGACTTCAACACAGCGCATCAAAGTGAGTGCTGCGTCCTGACGAACGTACATCGTGCCAGAACGCACTTCCTGTGACGTCAGCCCTGCGTTTCATTTCACCGGAGAATTTAGGTCATGGTAATGAAGGAACGCGCAATATGTTGTTTTGTTTTCTTTTTTTTCATGAAGCAACAAACCAAACTTTGATAAACGATGGTTTAGTAATGCGAGAAGCGGATTTACGAATTTGCGCCGCCTACTCAAACCAAGACAAACACCAATTGGTAAACGTAATAACGGGCTTACTACATTCAAGAAAAGATGTTCTAAATCCGGGGCCCTTTTTTCTAAATCCGAGATCCTATCATTATCCTGATTTGAATGGCTCGGCCACCATTGAAACTGCTGCGGATTTTGGAAACGAATGTGCGCGGCGCTCCTCCTGCTCCTCCTGCCGTATCTTCCCTCTCCTCCTTCTCCTCGTTCCCGTGCTCATCCTCATCGTCCTCCTCCTCATCTCTCTTTCTGCCTCTCCTCCTCCTCCTCCTCCTCCTCCTCCTCCTCCTCCTCCTCTTCCTCCTCTCCTCCTCCTCCTCCTCCTCCTCCTCCTCCTCCTCCTCCTCCTCCTCCTCCTCCTCCTCCTCCTCCCCCCTCTTCCTCCTCTTCCCCCTCCTCCTCCTCTTCCCCCTCCTCCTCCTATTCTCTCTTTCTGCCTCTCCTCTCATCATTCTCATCGTCCTCCTCCTCATCTCTCTTTCTGCCTCTCCTCCTCCTCCTCCTCCACCTCCTCCGCCTCCTCCTCCTCTTTCTCCTCCCTCCCCCCCCGTCCCCACCCCCCCTCCTTCATCTTCTCTCGCTTCCCCCTTCCTTTGCGCGCGCTGAAAGGCGCGGGAGAGGTGGGGGAGAGGGGGAGAGGAACGGAACAGAGAGAGAGAGACACAGGAACAGAAAAGGGGGAGGAGGCGTGGCTGGAAGGGTGAAAGGGAAGGGCAGGGAAAGGAGGATGGAGTGGACGCGTGTGGAAAGAGAGCAGGACGGGTTAGAGAACGGAGGGCGCAAGGAGGGGGAGGGGGGGCGGGGAGAGCAATAGGAAAGGCGGAGGGGAAGGGGAGACAAAACCCGAATGCACCGGCACAGCGGCGGCCGCCAGCGACAGCCATGGATAGAAGAAGGAGGGACAGGGAGGAGGCTGAATCCAGCGGCGAGCGAGGGGGGGAAGTGAGAAGGACAATGCCTTCTCTTGAAGGGGGCGTGGCTGCCCAACGTAGGCGGGAGACCCCGCCGAATCTCCTCAGCACCTGATGGCATTTAGCAGTCACGGGCCTAGGAGGGCCCTCCGTGGGCGAGCACTGCGGCGCCAGGTTTCGGGCACTGGTGGCCCGCCAAAAACCCACATCGAGTACAGAACGAAATCGCCAGGAGGAGGAGAAGGAGGAGTACCCTGTGCCCTTGCGGGCCCTTGGCTTCTTCCATCTCTTCAAGTTTCTCCTTTAGCCGCTGCGCCAGCCAGGCGTGAAAACCTTATTCATTGAGTCATCGAGCTGTGTTTTTCTCAAGCTCTCGCTTCATGCTGGGCCATCGCAAGAAGGAGGAGGGGAGGAGGAGGAGGAGGAGGAGGAGGGAGGAGGGAGGAGGAGGAGGGAGAGAGGAACGAGGAGCAAGGAGAAGGAGGGAGGAGGAGGGAAAAAAAAGGAAATGAGGGAGGGAGGGAGGGAGGGAGGGAGGGGGGATTGAGGGAGGAAGGAGAGGAGGAGGAGGAGGGTGGAGCGAGGAGGAGGAGGAGGAGGAGCGGAGGAGGGGGAAGAGAGAGTTAGGAGGAGGGGAAGAGGAGGAGGGAGGGGGAAGCAGGAGAGAAGGGGCGAGAGGAGGGGAGGAGGGGACGAGGAGGAGGAGGAGGCGGAGGAGGAGGGGGAGGAGGAGGAGGAGGAGGAGGAGGAGGAGGAGGAGGAAGAGGAGGAGGAGGAAAAAGGAGGAGTAAGGAGGGGGAGGAGCAGACACACCCGCATCCGTACTGCCCGCCGCTGGCGCGCACGGGCGCCCCCAGATCCACCTCCCTCCTCTCCCCAGTGCAGGTGTGCTTCACCCGTCGTTTTTTCTCATCTCGCTCGAACCTATTGATTTCTGTTCTGTCCTCGCCCGCAGACTGCGGGGGGAGGGCCGCGAGGGCTCCAGCTCCGTGTGCACGGACACATCCCCAGACATCCGGCCGCTCCAGACTTTTTCCGCGCGTGGGCCCGGAGGTCTGGACCACTTCCCTGGGGCCGGCGTTTCGTCCTGCATCGTTGGCCTTCCCGAAGCTCGGCGGGGGCCCCTGAGGCGGAACGCGGCAAAAAACTATCCGCCCAACTTTTTCGGAGCGACGACTCTCTAGGGCCGCAGCCACGAGCCACGAGGAGGAGGAAGCGCACGCAGGCCCGATGGGGGAGGTGGGGACGCGGCGGCGCGGGCACGACCAGGAGGACACTGGCGGCAGGGTCGAGGTGCTGAGCCGCCCCCGCGCTTGGCCGAGGAGGCCAGCCGGGCGGGTTGGCGACGAGGAGTGCTAAGGAATAGGAATAGCTACACGACGGTGTCATACCACATCTAAAATGGCCCGCCTCCCCTGAACACGAACAGGGACAGCACGAACCGGAAGAACATGTACATGTGCGCCCAAAGCCCGTTGCCGAAAGCCACCGTGCGAACACGACAAACCATGACAACAGACTGCGGATGAATACCTCATGAGCACTGCCGTAAAACCCACCACTGCTGAAAAGGGACTGACTCGATTCGACCCAAGAGAGCAACCTCAAATTCCTTACTAGCGAGCAGCCGAAGGCTCCAAGCTGAGATCGCCAATCCTTCAACTGCCCAATGAACCAACTTCAGGTAACTTCTTCCATTCGTGCACGCAAATACGACGTGCCAGGCTTTGCACGGCACCAAAGGTAGCGAGCGGATGTAGAAAAGCACAGACTGAACAGCCAGTAACCAGCAGAACCACTGAGCTTCCGATTGCAATGCCCAAATTGCTGAAAGGGTACGCCCATGCCGAGGGGTGAAGGACTTGCGGCCGACGTGCCCCCCCCCCCCCAGCCCGCTACTGAACGTTTGCGGGGCCGGTGATGAGTCGTCAACGATGTTGCAATGAAACCTCCCTCCAAACTCCCTCTTTTTTCCATTGAGGGAACTGCCTCGTTGGAAGACAACGGTTTGAGGACCTTGAAGCATGTCGAAACATTGTTCTCTGGATTTCCACGCCACGGATCAACCTGACTGCTGCGTCCTGACCATCTGGAATCGTGCCAGAACGCCATTTTGGGACTTCGACACCGCGAATCAACAAAACTGTTACACCAACATAATCCGGAATCCTTCCCAAACACCATCCCTGGTACGTTGGACACGGTAACCCGCGAAACCCTTTCAAATTTCCAAAACGAACGTGCGCGGCGCTGAAGCGAGGGCCACATTATGAAAAGGAACCGCCCTCCATCCGTGAAGCTCTTGCCATTTTGTTTGAACGAATGTGCGCGGCGCGTAGGCGAGAGCCACATTCTGAATACCACCCGCCCTCAAGCCGTGAGGCTCTTGCTATGTTTAAAAAATCGAATGCGCACGGCGCTAAGGCGAGAGCTACATTTCGAAAAAGAGCCGCCCTCAATCCTTGAAACCCTTGCAATTTTTACAACGGATGTGCGCGGCGCTAGAGCGAGAACCGCATTTTGACAACGACCCGCGCTCAATCCGTGAAGCTATTGCAATGTATAAAAATGCGCGCGGCGCTAAGGCGAGAGCCACATTTTGAAAAAGAGCCTCCCTCAATCCGTGAGACTCTTGCAAACGTTCAAAACAAATGTGCGCGGCGCTAAAGCGAGAACCACATTTTGAATACCACCCGCCCTCAATCCGCGAAACTCTTGCATTTTTTACAATGAGTGTGCGCGTCGCTAAGGCGGCAGCCACGTTTTGAAAACGACCCGCCCTCCATCTGTGACGCTGACAGGAAGTCTCAGGCGAAACGCGCGGCCCGCCCCAAAACACTGGCCTCGAGGTGCGACGGGGAGAAATTATCCATAAGGACAAGGAATGGGGGAGGAGGAAAACGAAGATTATGATCAACGGCGATCGCCGGCCGCCGTCCCAATCCGGCTGTAAACGCCTGCGGGCGGGCGAACAATCAACCATGTGCTCATGATCCCGTACCTCCCCAATGGACCACCAATAACCTGCCAGGGGTCGACGAGCACGAGGAGGAGGGGGGGGAGACAAGGAGGGAGACGAGAAGGAAGACGAGGAGGAGGAGGAGGAGGAGGAGGAGGAGGAGGGGAGGAGGAGGAGGAGGAGGAGCACGAGGAGGAGGGGGGGAAGACGAGCGAGGAGGAGGTGGAGGCGGCGGCGGCGGCCGAGGCCCTGCCTGTGCTCGGGCTGCTCGCGCCGACGCCGAAGTCCAGGCGCGGGCTGCCCTCGTCGTCCGACGCTGGGGCGGGCGGCCCGAGGCGCGCCCCGCGCGGCGCCCGCGCCCTCCTCCCCTCACTGAGGGGGCCCTGGGACGCAGAAATAAACACACGCACACACACGCACACACACACAGACACAGGCAGGCAGGCAGGCAGACAGACAGACAGACAGACAGACAGACAGACAGACAGACAGACAGACAGACAGACAGACAGACAAACAGACAGACAGACAGACAGACAGACACACGAACACACACACACACACACACACAGACACACAGACACGCAGACACACACACACACACACACACACGCACAAATGACCGGATTCCCCATGTTTTCCCATATTTTCTGGGCTTTTGACTTCCCCCCCACTTCCCGTATTTTCCCCCCTATTTTCCTGGAGATCGACGATTCATTGCGTCTGTGTGCCTTTTCCGCTCCTGAGTTGCGCGCGGCGAGCAGCGTGTCCGTATCCGCGCCCGCGCGGTCTGGATTCCGGGGCGCGAGCCCGCGGGCCCAGAGATCCGACGCTCCGACGAGAATGGGAGCGGCCGGCCTCTGGCCGATTGCCGCCTCCGGGAGGCCTCGCCGGGCCTCGGGACCGTCCACGGAGGGCTCGGGACGAGGAGGAGGAGGAGGAGGAGGAGGAGGAGGAGGAGGAGGAGGAGGAGGAGGAGGGAGGAGGCGGAGGAGGGAGGAGGAGGAGGAGGAGGAGGAGGAGGAGCCGGGAAATGGTCCATGACCTCGGGGGCACACGCGTCGAAGCAGCTGGAGCGGCCGGAGGTCTGGGGATGCGCGGTCGCACGGGCTCGCTCCGCGCGGGGCCCCCGCGGCAGAGCGCCCCGCGCGGCCGCGAGGTGGCGGCCCGTGGGGCCTCGCCCGCGAGGCCGCGGAGGCGGACGTGGTTGCCCCCCAGGCGGCCCCCCGCCTGGGCCGGTGCGTCGAGGCCAGGTGCTAGCGGCCACCGCCCCCGTCCCAGCGCCACCGCGCTGCCAGGGCGGCCGCTCCGGGAGGCACGAGCAGGGGAGCGAAGGGTGACGTAAGCATCACAGCTCGGAGGTCCGCGCGGACTTCTCGAATCGGCGCTGGAAGCCCCTGGCGGCGCCTCCAGCGCCGATCCGATGGGCATCGTTTAACCGATCCCTACCCCCACTGGCGTGGGCTGGGCCCCACTGGCCGATTTACCCCCGAGATGGGGATACAGGCGGTTCCCTCTGGGCTTCCAGGGGCATGCCCCCAACTGGGGTGGTGGGGTGGTGGGGATCGGGATGGGAATGGGGATCGGTTGCACAATGCTGATCCAAGAAATATGTGCGGACCTCCGAGTTGTCAAGCTCACAGTCGGGCTTGATTGGAGAGGACACGCGAGAGGACACCGGGCCCTTTCGAGGGCCACATCGCCACAGGAATGCACGAAGCATGGGTCGCGAGGCACAGGACACAAGGGCACCCTCGATCTGGCAGGGTCGCCCTGCTAATCCGGGCCGCTCGTGTGTCCTTCTTCGCTCCCCTGCTCGTGCGAGCCTCGGCCACGAGCAGGTCCCCCCGACCAGGGGCCCGAGGAGCGGCCATCCCGAGCTCCTCCCGAGCCCCCCCCGGGGGAGGGGGGCCTTCCTTCGGCATCTTGGCTGCAGCTGCGATGGCCTCAAGGCAGGGGGAGCCCGGGATCGAGCGGAGAAGTCGGATCGGCCATCGGAATCCATCGGATCGGAGGAGACCGGCAGCCGAGTCGGGGAGAGTCGAACCGGCGGAGATCGGCAGGCCAGTAGGCCTCCATGCAGCAATCGGAGCCCTGATCGGAAGCCGAAGTCGGACCGAATCGGAATCGGAAGCCATCGACCCAGACCCCCGACGTCGTGATTTTTTCACAACGTCGACCCCCAGAGGTCTGGACCCTTTCCCCGGGACCGGCTTTTCGTCCTGAGTCGTTTTTTGACGGCCCCGAGGCCCGGCGAGGGCCCCCAGAGGCCGAAAATAGTGCAAAACCTCCCGTCGTGATTTTTTCACGACGCGAGGAGGTCTGGGGAGGTCGCACCGAATCGAATCGAATCGGAGGAATCGAAACGAGCCCCGCAGGGGCCCTGCGGGGCGAAGGCGCACGCAGCAGGGCGGCCACCGCCCGGCGGGGCATGCACGGCCTCCAGCGGCCCCCACGGCACATCCTGAGACGTCTGGTTACCTCCTCGCCCACATCTTGGGCGCCCGAGTTATCCGGGGTAACTCGGGTCCGGGGTAACTCGGGTTTGGATTCCCGAAAAAGGAACCCGATTTAGCCCTGACCCGAGTTACCCCTGATGATTCGGGGCTCTGGACGCCCGAATTATCCGGGGTAACTCGGGTCCGGGGTAACTCGGGTTTGGATTCCCGAAAAACGAACCCGAGTTATCCCTGACCCGAGTTACCCCTGATGATTCGGGGCTCTGAACATCCGCTTCTTTTTCGACTTGGCGGCGCGCAAAAAGGGGGCAGGGGGAGGGGGGAAGGCTTCTTAGAAGGAGGCTGCTTCTCAGAAGACGCCGGCCCTGCATTTACAGATAAGGCCGGCACCTTCTAAAAAGCAGGGGTGCTTCTAGGAAGACCCCCCCTCCCCCATACCCCCCCTCTGCGCGTGGCCGGCACATCCGCCTCCTTCCCCACGCCTGCTTCTCTTCCCCATCTCCTCCCCCGCGGAATCCTCGAGATAGTTGGCGGGTTCCGGAAACCCTGAGGCCCAAAATGCTGTCATCTCTGGGAGGGCAACTTCTTACTTCCGCCGGCATTCCGTCGGCTTCCTCCGGCCAAGCCGCCGCCGATTTACTTCCGCAACCTTCCGCCGACCTTCCGCTGCCTTCCGAGATGGCAACTCCTTCGATCCTCGAATGCGTGGCCCTTTCTGGAAAGTTCCACTTGTCATCGCCGTCATCCTCCTGCTCCTCCTCTTCCTCCTGATCCAGCTCCTCTTCGTCCTCTTGTCCGTGCCTCCCCGTCCCTCCTCCCTACTCACGCCAGCTCGCCAGCACGCACGTGCCGCTGACACCTTCGGGTCGCGCTTGAAGCCAGTTAGGCTGGGTCGCCCTTGGTTTGCACCCTGCGTCCTCCTCCTCCTCCTCCTCCTCCTCCTCCTCCTCCTCTCCCTCGATCCTCCTCCTCCTCTTCCTCGATCTTCCTCCTCCTCCCGAATCTCTTCCTCCTCCTCCTCCTCCTCCTCCTCCTCCTCCTCGCCCCTACTCTCCCTCTCTCCCCGATCTCCTCTCCTCCTCCTCCTCTTCCTCGATCCTCCTCCTCCTCCTCCTCCTCCTCCTACTACTCCTTCTCCTCCTCCTCCTCTTCCTCCTCCTCCTCCTCCTCCTCCTCGCCTGCTGCCCCCCTTCGCATGAAGGAGACGGGCCCTCAGAGAATCGCAGATCTTGGACCCGGGGGTCTTCCCCCAACGTCCGTTCTTTATCCTGAGCCGTTTTCCAACAGGGGCCCAGGGCCCATAGAATTAGGTCGGGCATGTCCCCCTACAGGGGGGTTTTGGACGAAAATTACCCTGTGACGTACCCAACCCATTTGTATCAATGGAAACGAGGAGTTGGCCGAACCTTGCATGGACAATCAGCTTGATGTGTAAGCTACTTGGGACACGCGCCTATGGCATGATGCGCAGGAGAACCATACAAGAACGAGGGGCGACAGCTACAGGCTCGAAGAGGACATGGGGAGTCGGGAACGCAGGCCAAGAGAAAAACGTGCGGGAAGCCGAACCATCAGCACGGCAGCAGCAGAGGGAAGGTGACTGCACGAGGAGAACAAGGACGAAAGCGGCGTCTAATTTGAGTCTGCGGTGGGTACCCACTGTGTTGGGCTCCTCAGCAAGCCCCGAAAGTGGCGACAGTTTCACAGATCGCAGCCCCCCAGGGATGGCGAGGTCACATTTGAGTCTGCGGTGAGTGCCCACTGTGCTGGGCCCCCCAGCAGGCCTCGAAAGTGGCGACAGTTTCACAGATCGCAGCCCCCCAGGGGTGGCGAGGTCTAATTTGAGTCTGCGGTGGGTACCCACTGTGCTGGGCCCCCCAGCAGGCCTCGAAAGTGGCGACAGTTTCGCAGATCGCAGCCCCCCAGGGATGGCGAGGTCTAGTGTGAGTCTGCGGTGGGTACCCACTGTGTTGGGCCCCTCAGAAAGCGCCGAAAGTGGCGACAATTTCACAGATCGCAGCCCCCCAGGGATGGCGAGGTCCCATTTGAGTCCGCCGTGGGTACCCACTGTGCTGGGCCCCCCAGCAGGCCTCGAAAATGGCGACAGTTTCACAGATCGCAGCCCCCCAGGGATGGCGAGGTCCCATTTGAGTCCGCCATGGGTACCCACTGTGCTGGGCTCCCCAGCAGGCCTCGAAAGTGGCGACAATTTCACAGATCGCAGCCCCCCAGGGATGGCGAGGTCCCATGTGAGTCCGCCGTGGGTACAAACTGTGCTGGGCCCCCCAGCAGGCCTCGAAAGTGGCGACGGTTTCACAGATCGCATCCCCCCAGGGATGGCGAGGTCTCATTTGAGTCCGCCGTGCTGTGCTGGGCCCCCCAGCAGGCCTCGAAAGTGGCGACAGTTTCACAGATCGCAGCCCCCCAGGGATGGCGAGGTCCCATTTGAGTCCGCCGTGGGTACCCACTGTGCTGGGCCCCCCAGCAGGCCTCGAAAATGGCGACAGTTTTACAGATCGCGCCCCCCCAGGGATGGCGCGAGTTCCCATGGGAGTCGCCGTGGTTACCCAATGTGCTGGGCTCCCCAGCAGGCCTCGAAAGTGGCGACAGTTTCACAGATCGCAGCCCCCCAGGGATGGCGAGGTCCCATTTGGGTCCGCCGTGTGTACCCACTGTGCTGGGCCCCCCCCAGCAGGCCTCGAAAGTTGCGACAAGTTCACAGATCGCAGCCCCCCAGGGATGGCAAGGTCTCATTTGAGCCCGCCGTGTGTACCCACTGTGCTGGGCCCCCCAGCAGGCCTCGAACGTGGCGACAGTTTCACAGATCGCAGCCCCCCAGGGATGGCGAGGTCACATTTGAGTCCGCCGTGTGTACCCACTGTGCTGGCCCCCCCCCCCAGCAGGCCTCGAAAGTGGCGACAGTTTCACGGATCCCAGCCCCCCAGGGGTGGCGAGGTCCCATTTGAGTCCGCGGTGTGTACCCACTGTGCTGGGCCCCCCAGCAGGCCTCGAAAGTGGCGACAGTTTCACAGATCGCAGCCCACCAGGGATGGCGAGGCCAAAGGCAGGGGGGAAGAGAGGGACGGGAGGGGGTGGGAAGGAAGGTTCGCGCGAGCAGTGCTCTATTTAAAACGAGAACCCAACGCAGGAGGGTTGGGAATTACCCTGGCGACGTACCCAACCCCTGCGCAATGCGGGGCATGAGTAGCTTGGGAGACGTTATACGGAAGTGATGACGTGACATGGGCTCATATATTTTGCGAGCGGCATTCGTGAGGCTCGCAGCTCTTCAAGGATTGCGAGGTCCCGCTCAGATCTGCGTGGTGCCTCACTCCGCTGGACCCGCCACCAGCCTTTGAAAATGGCGACAATTTCGCAGATCGCAGCCCCCCAGGCACGGCGAGGTCTTGCTCAGATCCGCGCGGTACCTCACCCCGCTGGACCCACCAGCAGGCCTCGAAAGTGGCGGCAGTTTCGTAGATCGCAGCCCCCCAGGCACGGCGAGGTCTTGCTCAGATCCGCGCGGCGCCTCACTCCGCTGGACACACCGGCAGCCCTCGAAAGTGGCGACGGTTTCGCAGATCGCAGCCCCCCAGGCACGGCGAAGTCTTGCTCAAATCCGCGTGGCGCCTCACTCCGCTGGACCCACCAGCAGCCCTCGAAAGTGGCGACAGTTTCGCAGATCGCAGCCCCCCAGGCGCGGCGAGGTCTTGCTCAGATCCGCGCGGTGCCTCACTCAGCAGGACCCACCAGCAGCCCTCGAAAGTGGCGACAGTTTCGCAGATCGCAGCCCCCCAGGCACGGCGAGGTCTTGCTCAGATCCGCGCGGTGCCTAACTCCGCCGAACCACCAGCAACCCTCGTAGTGGCGCGGTTTCGCAGATCGCAGCCCCCAGGCCGCGAGCAAGATCCGCGCGGTCTCACTCCGCTGGACCCACCAGTGGCGACAATTTCGCAGATCGCAGCCCCCCAGGCACGGCGAGGTCTTGCTCAGATCCGCGCGCGCCTCACTCCGCTGGACCTACCAGCAGCCCTCGAAAGTGGCGCAGTTCGCAGATCGCAGCCCCCCAGGCACGGCGAGGTCTTGCTCAGATCCGCGCGGTGCCTCACTCCGCTGGACCCACCAGCAGCCCTCGAAAGTGGCGACAGTTTCGCAGATCGCAGCCCTCCCGGCACGGCGAGGTCTTGCTCAGATCCGCGCGGCTCCGCGGACCCACCAGCAGGCCTCGAAAGGGCGACGGTTTCGCAGATCGCAGCCCCCAGGCACGGCGAGGTCTTGCTCAGATCCGCGCGGTTCCGCTGGACCCACCAGCAGCCCTCGAAAGTGGCGACAGTTCGCAGATCGCAGCCCCCCAGGCACGGCGAGGTCTTGCTCGATCCGCGCGTCGCCTCACTCCGCTGGACCCACCAGCAGCCCTCGAAAGTGGCGACAGTTTCGCAGATCGCAGCCCCCCAGGCACGGCGAGGTCTTGCTCAGATCCGCGCTGCGCCTCACTCCGCTGGACCCACCAGCAGGCCCTCGAAAGTGGCGACAGTTTCGCAGATCGCAGCCCCCCAGGCTCGGCGAGGTCTTGCTCAGATCCGCGCGTGCCTACTCCGCTGGACCCCTCGAAGTGCAACAGTTTCGCAGATGCAGCCCCCAGGCATCGCGAGGTCTGCTCAGATCGCGCGGCTGTGGCGCAGGCATCGAAAGCGGCGACAGTTTCACAGATCGCAGCCCCCCCAGGGATGGCGAGGTCTAATTTGAATCCGCGCGTGGCCTCACTGTGCTGGGCCCCCCAGCAGGCCTCGAAAGTGGCGACAGTTTCACAGATCGCAGCCCCCCCAGGGATGGCGAGGTCTAATTTGATCTGCGTGTGGCCCCTCACTGTGGGCCCCCCAGCAGGCCTCGAAAGTGGGCGACAGTTTCGCAGATCGCAGCCCCCAGGGATGGCGAGGTCTAATTTGAATTGCGTGTGGCCCTCACTCGCTGGCCCCCAGCAGGGCTCGAAATGGCGACAGTTTCGCAGATCGCAGCCCCCAGGGATGGCGAGGTCTAATTTGAATCTGCGTGTGGCCTCACATGTGCTGGCCCCCCTGCAGCTTCGGAAAGAGTTGGGCGACAGTTCGCAGATCGCAGCCCCCACAGGGATGGCGAGGTCTAATTTGAATCCGCGGTGTGGCCCTCACTGTGCTGAGCCCCCCAGCAGGCCTCGAAAGTGGCGACAGTTTCACAGATCGCAGCCCCCCAGGGATGGCGAGGTCTAATTTGAATCTGCGTGTGGCCCTCACTGTGCTGGGCCCCCCAGCAGGCCTCGAAAGTGGCGACAGTTTCACAGATCGCAGCCCCCCAGGGATGGCGAGGTCTAATTTGAATCTGCGTGTGGCCCTCACTGTGCTGGGCCCCCCAGCAGGCCTCGAAAATGGCGACAGTTTCACAGATCGCAGCCCCCCGCAGGCAAGACAGGAGGAGGCAGGGAGGGAGGAGGAGGAGGAAGGAAGGAAGGAAGGAGTGGAGACCACACTGCTCTATTCAAAACGAATACCCAACCAAGGAGGGTTGGGAAATAAAAAATACTCCAACAATACTCCAAAATGGTCAAACATGTTTTAAAACATCGTCCCCAGACTATCTTCACAATTTTGGAATATTCCTCCTGTAGAGGGACAGGCCCGACTTGACCATAGAAGGCCGTGGGAAGTTCAAAGCGTCGAAACGCCCGAGGACCCATTTCCCTCAGGACCCGCGTCTGTCATGGTAACCCCCCTCCAACTCCCCTCCTCCCCTCCGAAGGACGACGCACACGACGACGGCGCCGACGACGCCGACGAGGTCCGAGCCCCGAAGCCGCCAGCCTGGGTTGCTGCCGGGCTCCGCGAGCTCCGCGAGCAGCGGGGTTTTCATCCGCGTTGGGACAAACGACCTCTCCGGGCGGCGCCGGCGAGGGCCCACCAGGTACTGGGCATCGCTCGGACGTCCATTCCCTGTGCTTTTTTCGGCTTCGTGCTCGGTTTCTTCTCCAAATAATCAAGGGTGCTCCTCGATGGTCCTCGCCGAAGGAAAAATGCACACGTCCGAGCGATGCCAAGGGTATAGTCCCACGGGCCCCCCGAATATAGCCCGGGGCGGTCTCAACACCTCGACACACTGGCGCCGCCTCCAGCGGTGCCCCTGGGGGCGCTCAGCGCTGCAGAGCGGAGGTGTTGAGACTACTGCCCAGGGCTGCGCGGGGGGCCATGTGGGGGCAAGCCAGGACCACACGGGGCGGCTGTCCGTGCGGGGACCGGAGCCATACCAGGAGGAGAGAGGGAGGAGGGAAGAGAGGCACGCTCGCGCCGAATGTGCCGTCCTACCCCTCCCTCACATCATCCTTCCGAGTAGCCCTGAATTCGCTTCTGTCCGCCGAGCTGGGGTGTCCTGGAGGACCCTGACCCTCGAAGTGACCCCGGCGGTGCGCAATCACAAGGAGGGGACCTTTGTAATTGGAGGAGAAAGAGGAGGAGGAGGAGGAGGAGGAGGAGGAGGAGGAGGAGGAGGAGGAGGAGGAGGAGGAGGAGAGGAGGAAGAGGAGGAGGAGAGGAGGAGGAGGAGGAGGGGAGTGAGGACGAGGAGGAGGAGGAGGAGGAGGGAGGAGGAGAGGAAGGAGGAGGAGAGGGAGGAGGAGGAGGGAGGAGGAGGAGGAGAGGAGGATACCGCGCCATCACAGGAGGAGGAGGAGGAGGAGGAGGAGGAGGAGGAAAGGTGGAGGGGAAAAGGGGAGGCGGCAACGACGAGAAATGAACCGGATCCAGGAGAGTGGCATACGCTGGGGTGACAGCGCCATCATGACCCACGGGAGAAGGGCAACGACCCCGAAGCGCTGCCAGCGCTGCCGCGAGAGGGTTCCGACTCCTTGTGAAGGACCGGCAGCACTCCGACGGAACTGGGCACCAGACACAGCGATGAGACCCCGCGTGGTGGCGAGCTGGGCGTGGTCGTGAGTGCGAGCCTGCGCTCGAGCACATCCTGGAGGTCTGCGCGGTCCGAGGGCTCCCTGGCCGTCCCGCGGCGAGGAGGAGGAGGAGGAGGAGGAGGAGGAGGAGGAGGAGGAGGAGGAGGAGCAGGAGCAGGAGGAGGAGGAGGAGGAGGAGGAGGAGGAGGAGGAGGCGTCTTCTCGCCCCTCGCCCGCCCGCGCCCCCGTGCCCCAGCTCGCGGCGCGTGCGCCCCGCCGTGGGCGTGGCCGCTCGTGGGGCCCACCTCGCCGCGGGACCCAGCGAGCGCGAGGCGGAGCGGGGATGGGGCAGGGCACTGACCGCACACGATCCGGGGAGAGAGGAGGCCGGTGCTCGCACAGAGCACCTCCACCCGACAGGCCGCTCCTGGGGTGAGAGAGAGAGAGGGACCCTCAGAGAGGGAGGGGTGTGTGTGTGTGTGGAGGGATGGGGCCATCCTTCGGTCCGAGAGTGGCGTCGGAGCCAGTTCGCGATCTATGTTTCCAACGATCTCGATGTACATCTCTTTGGTGTCCATCCGTGGATGTCCGCATCTATCGGCCTCGGCCTGACCATGTATCCAATCGTCCCGATGGCAGAGCTGTCGATTCGATCCATCGGCCTCAATCCATCACCACCTGTCGGCCGGTACTTCTGCCCATCTATCAATCGATCTCCCTATCGACTCAACCCTGGATTGTATTTAGCTTGCCAATATACCTGGCAAACAGGGTCGGATAGTACTTATTTCCTGCTGCGGCACCCGCCCTCAACAGGTGATGGTGGTGGTCCTGGCATCCACGCGAGAAATCTTATGACAAAGAACCACGGGGCAAACCACGGGCGATCATGATCGGGACTATGATGGGGCAGCCACAGGACAACAAACACATAGGAACGACCACATAGCAAACAACCATCGGAACAACCACCAAGACAATCTTCGGGACAATCGATCTTTTTCTGACCACGGCCGCTGCGCTGCATGTCTAAAGCGCACTCAGAGCGTCAGACAGCAGGGTGGCTCCTGGCGCGACGGGTTGGAGTCCCCTGCAGTTTCCGCTCCAACTGGCCCGGTTGTGTACTTGCTCCTGCCAGCCTCTCGGCGGTCCGTACAGCGCAGCGACGGAGCGGCAGAGAGGAGCGATAATAGAAGAAGAAACAACAACATACACATGCAGTTTGGGCGCTCAGCGCGGGTTTCTTGGATCTGCGCCAGACCCCCTCCCTGGCGCGCGGAGCGCGCCAGGGGCGGCGCCGGAGGCGCCGCTTGGGGGGGGGTGGCTGCGCGGATCCAAGAAAGCCGCGCGGAGCGCTCAAAGTTTATGTGTATAGCGCTTTTCCTTCGTCGAGGGAAGCAGGCAGAGCAGACCACGACGCGGGGGGTGTCTGGGCATCGCTTGGACGTCCACTCCCTGTGCCTGTTTCGGTCTCCTCCTTGGCCTCTTCGCCCAACGATCCAGGCCGCTCTTCGACGGTCCTCGCCGAAGGAGAAGTGCACACGTCCGAGCGATGCCAAGAGCAGAGCGGACCACGACGCGGGTGGCTCGTGGGCAGACGGGCCGAAGAAGGCACCGAGGGCGCCGAGGGCGGCGGCCGCGGCGGCACGGGCCAGACACGCGGAGGCAGCGGGGGCGCCGGCCGGCCGTGGCCGGCCGTCGCAGAGCGGCGTGGGCAGGACGGCGCGCGGGGAGCGGTGCTTCACACCTCCTCCCTCCTCCCTCCTCCTCCTCTTCCTCCTCCTCCTCCTCCTCCTCCTCCTGCTGCTGCTGCTCCTCCTCCTCCTCCTCCTGCTCCTGCTCCTCCTCCTCCTCCTCCTCCTCCTCCTCCTGCTCCTGCTCCTGCTCCTCCTCCTTATCCTGCTCCTCCTCATCCTGCTCCTCCTGCTCCTCCTGTTCAAGCAACGGGCCCGAGTCCACATTCTGCACACGGTCCACCCCGCCCCCTCCACGTGGGGCTTGAGGGACATCGCGCTTCCCGTTCCCAGTGAGCAGTCAGTCGCGATGACGAAGGCGGGGGAACACGAGAAGGCTGCGGCTCCCAGGGCGTGGCCGACGTGTGCAGGCTGCGGCCGACATGAATACCGTGATGCTCTCGAAAGCCAAGCTTGCAGGTGTCGAGGCTGCAGCAGACCAGTGAAGCTGTACAAGCCCAAGAGTCAGAGCAGCAGCAGTCCGTCCACCTCGGGCAGGATAGGTTGAGGAGAAGCACGACCTCGTCCACAGCGTCCGACGCCCCCCGCAGCTGCGCCGACGCTCGAGCCCTGGCCCGGCGCGGGCCCTCGCGGCGACCTCCGATCCCGAGGCCGAGCGGGCCCTGGCGGAGCAGGCGGCACGCGCGGCGCAGGCGACCAGGCCAGCGCAGCCGCCGGCCACCCCGGCGGACGACGCCGTGAAGAGGGCGACAGGCGCTTGGCGCGATGCCGGCGCCAAGCACGAGCAGGCGGCCAGCCAGGTCGCGCGGTGCAGGGAGAACTCGCGCAGGGCCGAACTCAAGGAGCAGGAGATGGCCAAGCACCTGGCGGAGGCGGAGATCCAGCGGCGCCCAGCGGCCCAGGCCTTGCAGAAGGCCGCGGGCGGCGAGGCCAGCAGCTCCGCCGCAGCCGGCGCGAGGCAGTCTGGCGAGAGGTCCGAGCACATCGAGCTGCACTGGGACCTCGCGTTCTTCCACGAACTGAGGGGGCTGGGCCGCGACCAGTCCGAGCTCGAGAAGCTCGACAAATTCGAGAAGGAGCTGCGAGAGGCGAATGACAACCTCAAGCAGCGGTCCGCCGAGCTGGCGCCCTGGCGCAAGGAGGCGCTGGCGATCCAGGCGGCGGCGCAGGAGCGCACGAAGAAGAAACGGCGCGTTGGCGAGGAGGCCGAGGAGGGCGCAGCAGCCTCAGCGGCGCCTGCGCCCGCAGCTGCGGCGGCGCCCACCGAGCCCACGGCCGAGGCAATCGCGACGGGGGCGGCCAGGATCTCGGCGACCAAGATCGCAGCGGCCACGGCGGCGCAGGAGGCGCGGGCCCAGGCGGCAGCGGGCCAGGCGGCCGCGGGGCCTAAGTGAGACCAGGCGGTGGGCCGCGCCGCCAGCGCTGATCCAGCGCCTTCGCCGCCGGCCGCTGCGTCAGAGCAGGTCGATTCTGGTTCAGATAGTTGCGAGGGGGTGAATAAACTGTTCTATGAAAGAGCTTGGGATTTTCTCACCAGTCCGCGCCGTCTTCGAGAATGCGCTTACTTCGGGATAGTGGAGTCTCGCGACTGCACCCGCTCTCGGGATGAGTGGATCGCCAAGGCGCGCAGGCTGAAGCCCAAGTGCATCGACAACTGCGTTCGTCCATCAGGGAAGGGCGCAACTTCAGCAGCTCGAGCCCGAGCGAACGAAGGAGGGGAACTCGTCCTCGCCCAGGGCCATCGGCATCTTCATCGTCTTTTTCGAGTCCGCCACAGAGGTGCCTCATCTGTGTGCGGACGGCCACGAGCAGCTCGACGGGTTCCTACCCGTGGTCTTGCACCCGCAGGGCTTCAGCTTCATCGTGGTACTTTTACATGGTCACCCCTCGGTCGGAGACAACGGCAGCAATACCTGGCGGTATGTGCGCGTCGGTTCATTCCATCGTACGCCTCAAATGCATTGGCTGGTTGTGGGCGACTCGAACATAGATGTAGATATTCTTCGGCGTTCTAGCTTTCTCCAGAAGATCCAGGGTCACATTGTGAAGGCCCCCGTGCAGTATGCACAGGTGGGCGGCAACGGCAACTCCCATCTCGATTTCATAGTTGCTGGCGCCGCCTGCCTCCCATGCACAGTCAGCGCTTCTGTCGTCCAGGATGTTTCATGGGCCCCCCCCTGTGGCCTCGCAACTTGCCTTCGTAATTCTGGACGGCAGATGATAGCTCGTAACATGCCAGTGGCTCCGCGTTTGCCTCAGATGTCCAGGCCCACCAGAGTTGCTCAGTCTGACTCCAAGTCCAGTTGGTCGCGGGCTCAGTAGACTCTTCGAATAGCGTCGGCCCGTGAAAAAAGACGAGAGGCTTGCGCATCCTTTGTTTCCTGATCTTCCCCAGTCTGGCCCGCACCTGGAGCACGAGGAAACATCGGCTGGGGTCGGCGTCGACGGGCCCTCGGCGACTGACGGCGGTGGCGACGGGGAGGAGTTTTTAGATGTGAAAGAGCGTGTTCTACCGCTGCGGGCGGAAAACCGGGGGGGGGACTCTACCGGTTCAAACTCCCCCCCCCCCTCCGGAAAACCGCGGGGGTCACTGCCTGTTCGACCCCCCCCCCCCCGTTCCCCCCGTTCATCATGAAAAGGGCGGGGGGGGGGTCACCGCCGGTTCGAACCGCCCCGCCCCGCCCCCCCATCGAAAACCGAGGGGGTCACTGCCGGTTCGAACCCCCCCCCCCTCCAAAACCGAATGGGGGTGCGGACACTGGTGGGGGCAGTCGTGGCGGGGACAGTGGTGGGGGGGCAGCGGGACAGTGGTGGGGACAGTGGGACAGTGGTGGGGACGGTAGTGGTGGGGACAGTGGTGGGGACAATGGTGGGAACAGTGGGGACAGTGGGACAGTGGTGGGGACGGTGGTGGTGGGGACAGTGGTGTGGGGACAGTGGGAATGTGGTGGAAACAGTGGGACAGTGGAGGGTACAGTGGTGGTGGGGACAGTGGTGAAGGCGGTGGCGAGGACGGCGGTGGGACAATGGGACAGAGGTACAGTGGGGACAGTGGTGGGGACAGTGGGGACAGTGGTGGGAACAGTGGGACAGCTCAGTGGGACAGCGGAGGAGTCAGTGGGACAGTGGGGACAGTGGGGATAGTCGGGCAGTGGTTGGGGCCGTGGGAAAGAGTGGGGGTGGGAACAGTGGTGGTGGACAGCGGGACAGTGCGACAGTGGTGGTGGCACTGGTGGGGACAGTAGGGGCGGTGGTGGAACCAGCAGTGGGTGGTGAGGACAGTGGCGCTGGGAACAACAGCGGACGGTGGTAGGGGCCGGGAGTCGTTTACTGGCGGTGAGTGTGGGGGGGGGGTCGAGACGGTAATGGCCACCCTCCGGTTTCCGAGAAGGGGGGGGAGGGGGGGGAGGGGGGGGGTTCGAACCGGCATTGACCCCCCCCCCGGGTTTTCGAAGGGGGAGGGGGGGGGGGGGGTTAAGGAGGGGGGGGGGGGGGGGGCGGGGGAGAGGGGGGGGGGGGGGGAGGGGGGGGGTTCCAGCAGGGGGCGGGGGGGGGGATCTTCGGAATGGGGGCGGGGGGGGGGGGGGGGCGGGTTCCGGAGGAAGAGGGGGGGAATTTTCCACAATACAGCGGCGGTGGGTCACGCTCTCTCTTTGATGTGGATCATGTTTTTTCGGCTCGGGGATCCCCGGCGATGAGGAGGGCCCGTGGGCCGACGAAGCCTGTTTCAAACCTGCTTCGGCTCTTGTTCAGTCTGCGAGCTTAGAGGCAGGAGAAGCGGGCTCCTCCTTGTGCCATTCGGAGAAAGGCAGCGGAGTTGGCGGCATTTCGAGGGGGCCGGGGCGACCCCAGCGATGACGGTGCCACCCAGGGTCCCAGGGGTAGGTGATGCCACGGGCGTCCGTCCAACTCCGACTGCCGATGCCCCTGCTGTCTCGCTTCTCTCCTCTTTTGCTCTTCCGTCGTCCCTTTGGCTCAAACATCAGCACCAAGTTGGTTGGGCAACACAATCAATGGATGATGTACTGCCAGCGATCCGCTCGCCCCTGGCCTTCGCAGTGGGCGGACCCTGCGTTCTGGCAATCAGTAGCAAGTTCGCTGCTTTGATTGAGATCGTGGAGCGGAGCCTCAGCGAGCACCATGGAGTCGCAGCGCCAGCGATCTTGAGGGCGGCAGGACCACGCCAGGAAGAGGGCCCAGTCCGTGCTGCCGCCCACATTCGAGATCAGCCACTTCGCGATGCTCACGCTTCGTGGTGGGCTCGCGCACACGCTAGTGTTCAACGCGTGGAACGGCATCGCCGACGCAACAGCGGCGCCGTGCAGGTACATTAGCTGGCAGAGGACGCTCGACGGCTTGCAGCTGCGCTGCCTGAAGGGGTTCACACATTTTTTTCTATCGGCAGTGGTTCGTGGCAGAACTGGTTCACTTCAATTCGGCAGCCTGAAGTTCTGGATTCTCAGGCCCTCGGGGCGGCCGTCGGAGTTGCAGATAAGGCTGCGCGGCGAGTTCGTGCTCGGGCCACCAGCCTGTCTTTGAAAGAGCTTCAGGAGTGGATCGCAACCCAGGGCGCCCTGGGAGTGGCCCCTAAGAGTATCGAGCAGGAACCTTTGCCATCGGGCGAACTTCGCAATGCAGGCGGGCGTGCAGTGCGCCCTGTCGAGATCGTGGATCGGAAGGTCGTTTGCTGGCACAAGTTGTTGCAGTCCAGTGATTTGACATTTTCCAAGTTCCAGGACACCGTGGCAAGCGTTAGGCAGCTGGGTGAAATCGAGCAGCTCGTTCCCCTCACTGTAGCAGACCTCCGCCACCCCTGCGTCGCATGAAGGCCCGTGCTGGCCTCGGAGCGGGCCAGCTCTCGCCAGTCGACCTGGAACGGCTCCCAGACGCGGGCCCGGAGGGCCTTTGTCCGCCTTTTCCCATGGTAGAGCAAGGCGCGTCGTGGCCCTGGCAACTCCCCATCGCGATGGGCAGCCCCCTCGCCAGGGCCAGGAAGGGAGGGGGCGGCCGCGCCATAGGCCTGATTGCCATGATCTGCAGAGTACGCAGCATGGCCAGAGAAGGGCAGACGCGGCACTGGACCGCTGACACTGCCCCCCACACTGGGGTGCTGCAGTCGCAGGCAACAGCGCCCTCAGGGAGGCTTTTCTGCGACCTCTCGATTCTGGAGCTCATTCTCGGAGGGGCGCAGCTCATGGGCGGGGCGCTGCCCCGCCGACTTTGTTCTCGAACGTTTGTGCGCCAGGGACACTGTCGCCGAATTTGCGAAGGCGTCTCTCGGCATTGCATGCTCGCGTCACGCCGATGCCAAGACTGTCGTCAAGCTGCTGAGGAGAAGAGGGATCGACCTCAAGGCTGAGCTGCAGGCCGCCTACCTCGGCGTCGACACGGGGGCAGGACGTCGCGCATCACGGGCCACTGTACGAAACCGGGCTGGCAAGGCGAGGGAGCAGAATGGACGCCCACGTCATTTCGCCGCAGCCTCGGGTTACAGCTCGTGTCGGACGTGCAGGGCCGCAAACCGTTGCCTCCTACGGGCACCAGGTCCACGGCATGCTCGGCAGCGCGATGGTGCACCAACGTCGGCGACTGGCAGCGGCCTCAGGCTCGGTTCGACGAGAACGGTGCACAACCACCTTGATTGGTTTTCGAACCCCACAGGCTGACCCTGGCACTCTCCTCCCGCGCCAGCGTCTAGCCCAATGGCTGCAGATCTGGATCACCGAGCCCAAAGTCCGCCCCAGCGTGTACCGCGTTTGGCCGCCGGTGGTTCAGCATCTCAAGGGTGTCCCAGAAGTTCAGAGATCTAGATTTATTCGGGCTCCTGTTTCTGCTGTGGTGGCTTACCTACTGCAGGCGGGCTGGGATCCTCAGACTCCTTCCGAGTGGGTCTTGGCGAACGCGGACAGCATGCCTGGCGTTTCGACGATGAGGCATTGTGTTCGCTTGATCAGGCCGATGACCTACTCCGTGCGTTTGAGGGATGTCTCAAGCTGCGGCAGTGGCGTATCGCTGCTGAGCTGCATTGTGGATTGAGACTGGAGACAGGAGCGGATCTCTTCAGTCTTCGGAAATCCACTCGTGATTTGCAGTATGTTGATAAGGGGCGGCAGTTGTCTGGGTTGATGCTCACTATCGCACTTGCTGGAATTTGGACGAAATCGCGCAAGCATGCCGCTAACCTCTGTACTTCGGATGTGTGTGATCGATGCTCGGAATCTGCTGAATATGATTTCCATCGGTATTGGTTTTGCCCACACAACACGGGGAACCGAGCTTTGACGGAGTCGGACCTGTTCGCGGCAGAGGCCATGGCAGGCCAAGAGATGCATGCCTGCTTCTGGAGCCGTGACATCATCCCTGCGCCCTGGACGCGTGCGACTGAGCCTGCGGCCGAGGAGCTGTGGCGAGGCGGCAACTTGTGTTGCGACGGAGTGGGGCCAGGCGGCCTAGGACATGGCACGCCCGAGGCCCCATCGCATGCTTTTGGATCTGCTTCAGGAGGCAGCGACACGCATGACCCCCGGCTACGACGCGTCGGACTGGCTGTTTGTGTGCTCGCCGCCTTCGATCCTGTTCATGTGGGGCCCTACCTGTTCGGGCCGCACATCGGGGGAATCCAGACTGTCGCCAAGGGCGGTTGGCAGCGCTGGAACCAGCTAGATCCGTGATCTTCGCCACCGACTGTGAGGGGGTCTGTCGCGGATGGTGGGCGGCAAGATTGTATGAGAAGCCGTCTGGGCAATTGCCTGGCCTCTGGCGTCAGATAGGACGACACCTTCAGCATCGAACAGCCAAAGAGATCGCCATCCTGCAGATCCCGTCCCATCTCGAGACCGAAAAGGCGATGCGCCGCCAGCATCCGAGCTGGATGGTGCAGGGAAATGAGGTGGTGGATCGGCTGGCGCAGCAAGCAGCTGAGGACCATCGGCTGCCAGAGGTCGAGAAGCACCGCGTGGCCGCCACCGAGCTGAAGGCGTTGCTGGTGCGGAGGCGGCTGTTGCGGTCCGCGCTGTGCTGCATCCAGCTGGAGCGGGCCCAGGCCGCGGAGGCGGCGCAGGAGCGGCGGGCGGCGCAGCATGCGCCCCTGGAGTCCGAGGCGCCCTCGGCCGCTCCTGTCCTTCCCCCTCCTCCTCCCCCTCCTGCTCCGTCGGTGGTTGCACGCTTCGCGACGGCCCACACTCTGGACGAAGAAGGGAGAAGCCGTCTGATGTGTAACGGGTCCGCCAGCAAGGCTGCTCGAGTCGAGTGGTTAAAAAAGCGTGTGTGCGCCCCTCCCTCAGCTGTAGATGGTGGGGTGTCCCGGGCCCGTCGGGGTGCCATACTCGTAGGAGGAGGAGGAGGAGGAAGAGGAGGAGGAGGAGGAGGAGGAGGAAGAGGAGGAGGAGGAGGAGGCGGAGGAGGAGGAGGAGGAGAGAGGAGGAGAGGGAGGAGGAGGAGGAGGAGGAGGAGGAGAGGAGGAGGAGGAGGAGGAGAGGAGGAGGAGGAGGGGAGGAGGAGGAGGAGGAGGAGGAGGAGGAGGAGGAGGAGGAGGAGGAGAGGGCCCACCCCTCCCACGCCCTCATTCATCATCATAGCCTCAGTATCTGGTTCTGCAGTGTACGCGGCTACTTCGGCCAGGCCCAGCTCAGGGGTCTCGGTAGTCCGTGCAGTTTATACCCATTTCTGAGGCGCGTCGCGAATACCTTGATCGGACAGGTCGCGACATGTTCCCCCCACACTCTAGCTGAGCCTCGAGCAGGATCTCGAGTAGAAAGCTCAAGTTTCGCTGCGCGAAGGCTGGAATCCCTGTAATCCCTCCTGCTCCTCCTGCTCCTCCTCCTCCTCATCCTCATGCTCCTCCTCCTCCTCCTCCTCCAGCTCCTCCTGCTCCTCCTCCTCCTCCTTCTCCTCCTCCTCCTCCTGCCACCAAGACAGGAAGCTGCCGTTGGGCGCGGATACGCGTCCTCCAAGCTGAATCGGGCAACATCTTGCTGGCACCATCGGTGACCGCGTCGAGGCCTGCGATCGTTGGGAGCAAGACTGTGCAAATGTTACAAAAACGAAAACGAGTGCCCGCTGGACATTATTTTAAGTGTGGCCCTTCGGCCCCGCTCAGCGGAGGCCGAGGAAACGAAGGCCAGTGCGGACATCGACTGCAAGCGATGCCACACAGCGCATGGCGTCCTATGCAAAACATCGAAAATGTATGACCACTTCAAATGGGCAATCAGCAGGACATCGGACCTGGCTTCCAGCCCGCGTGAACAGGCGGATTGAAACAGGGCGTGCATCCAACATCCGATCATGACCTGTTGCGCCTCTTCAGGTTATGCATCTTGCGCCAGAGCTGGGACAACCGAAGCAACCAACAATGGATTCGCAGCGGCAAAATACGCTGGAGGCACAACTAGAATGGCATCCTGGCTGTACGAGCTGCTGTCGGTGGCGTACCCCTCGTGTGCAGAAAAGCCCACATGGACCCGCGACGTCATCCTTCAGGACGTGTCCGCCGGCCCGAGGCCCGTAGAGCAGTCCCGTCGAGGACTCCTCCAGCTGCTCCATCCCCCCCTTACCCCCCCCCTCGATCTACACGTCTGCGATTTGTTCTGCGCCCCCCCCCCCTCCACCTTCTCCGCTCTCCGACTCGCGCGACGAGGGGCCCGACCACAAAGCCACGCCCCGACGCTGCGTGGCCACTGGGCCATCGGAAGCATCCCGATATCCCGCCCTCCCCCTGACCCGAACCCGCTCTTGAAGAAAACCATACAATCGGACATGGTACATAATTAGAGGGAAAAGAACTATGCACATGCACCGATTCTGGCCAGGCCCATCCTGAGCCCAGGATCGGTGCATACGCCCTCCCACCTTGGCCAGGAAGGCATATGCACCGATCCTGGGTCAAAAATGGGCCTTGCCAGGATCGGTGCATGTGCATAGTTCTCTTCGCCCGAATAATAACACCCTTCGAGAACATGACATTACCGACCTCGATCAAAAATCTCGGTCCGACCGTATGTCGGGCTACGGGCTCGATGCCAACCGCCAATATGAACCCGCGCATGCCTCGCTGACGACGTCAGACGACGTCAACTGCTGGCGTCTGGCACCGTGAGCGCAGATTGCGCTTACAAAGTGTTCCTCAGGTCTCGGCGGAGTGCCGAAGACCAAAAATGTCGGCGGCAAACAGTTGAATAATACTGTGTGAAGCTGTGGTCAGCAGGAACTCCAGCACGCGCGCTGGAAATGCACAGACGATGAACACGCCGTGTGCTCACCAGAGCCAGAAGGCAGCTAGAAACATCGAATTAAGCACAGGCTGCTGAATTAGACTCCACCTTCACGTGCCCCACAGAGAGCAACCCCACCACGTCGGAAGCACTCGCTCTGCGAGCCGGCTCGGGCGTCAGCACCGCCTGCAAGCAGACCGATGCTGTGTCATCGTGCACGTTGCCCATCATTGTCATCGCCTCGGTGTGACAGCCAGCCCGGGCAAAGAACTCGAGTATCTGCTTCGCAGCACGTGCGAGGGGCTCGTCACGACACCACTGGACCGACAACTCGAGCGAGCCCTGCCCGCAAGCGATCTCCAAGAACACCACCCCGAGGCTCCAGCAGTCTGCCGGCTTGGGAAGGTAGGGCTCCTCCAGCGCTGTCTCTGGAGCGACGCATGGCAGAGAGCGCAGAGAGCTGCAATAGGTCTCTCTTGTGCTGGAGTCTGGGACGTGGGCTGCCATGCTGAAATCCACCAGGCGGCAAACGTGCCGACTGCAGGCCATCTCCACCGTCACGTGCCTCAATGACACTTGCCCGTGGACGACATCCAGGGCATGGCAGTAGGACAGGGCGCTCGCGACCTGTGCACTGCATTTGAAGGCGTCGTCCCTGGACAAGCGATGGCCTAGTTGAGTCGACAAAACCTGCTCCATGCACACGTCGCCACCATACTGGAGCACCAGGTGCACATTGTACCGGCTGTGCAGCATCCTTTCGCAGCGGATGATGTGCGGGTGGTCAAGAGTGTGCTTCAAGAAACAGAACTCCTTGTAGATGCATTCCACCTGTGTGGCATCAGTGACGGTGCGCTTGTTTTGCACCTTGATCACAACGTTCTCGTGCTGCCCATTGACCGCCAACAAAACGTGCCTGTGGGTCGCGTACGAGCGCACGATCCGGAAATCCCCGACCCAAGCCCCGGACTCCAGCAAGCGCTTGTCCAGAGACGCGAAGCCAGGAAACAGCAGATCTGGGATGGTCACCCAGAAGAGGCCGTCGATCACGTCCTCGAACGCTTCGCAATCGCTCACAGAAAGTATCCCTCGGCTCGATTCGGCATCGAATACGCGCAGGCGCTGCTGGACGACGGCGCTCTCTTTGATCTCCAAATTTACCTTCTGTAGCAGCGCCTCTGGGTCGCATTCCAGCTCCATCAGCACGCCGTGCGCCCCAAAGCTGTAGAGCGCGTCCTGACGCTCCATCAATGTATTGAGGTAGGCATTGGTCAACTCGGGGTCCAACCGATCCGGAAGCTGCACCAAAAAGACGAACAAGTCGGGGTGCGCCGTCCTCAGATAGCCGAGGAGACACAGCGCTCCCCTCTTCTCCCACTTCGTCCTGTATACGGACACGATCAGCACGGTTTCGCGCTCCTGCACCAACTCCGCGATGCTTTCCCAGCTCACCTCACCACAGCCTGCCACAGGGTCCAGCAGGTTGGCCGGCTTGCCCTGCGAGCTCCACGGCACCAGAGTCAAGAAGCCAAAGGCCGCCATGCTGGGTGCAACGCTGGAGACATATGCCTCCACGACCGCTTGGATCGCACTGACTGTTGCATCCATGTTCGAACAATGCGCCTTGCAATCAAAGCGGTTGATGTCGCGCGCCTCCAGACTCGAGTGCAAACGGCTACGGGAAATCTTCGGGACAAAACGACCATCCAGACAACCACGGACAACACCGGGGTAACCATCGGGAAAAGCATCTGGGCAACGATCAATAATTTGGGACAACAGAAAGACAGCCACAGGACAACGGCGGGGCAACCATCGGGCAAACACACGACAACCACAGGACACCACACTATGTCCAGAGGACAAGCACGGGAGCACCAATCCGCCAGAGGGGCGCAACAAACTGATGTCCCCCAACCCTCCGCCGTCATGCACTCATGCACGACGCGAACCCAGACCGAACCATATTTACTCGCTGGGCGGCTCCGTTTCACCCCGATGTCACTCCCCAACCTTCGATCGATGGGGGAGCGGGCAGGAGGACGAGCAGAGGAAGAGGATGAGGAACAGGAGGAGACACCGCTCTGGACACCTATGGAATGAGCCGGCTGCATGTCTACCTCGCTCGCCCGCGCGGCCCGGACCCCTAACCCGCCGGCTCTGCGCGAGGCCCGCACTTACACCGACGACCTCGGGGGCGTGGAGGGGATCTACACCCTGCGAAATGCTTAAGAAATCATGGGTTAAGAAATTCATAGTCTCAGAAAGTGAATAGAACCCAGAACTTCTATCAAAATCTTGGGATTTACATTGAAAAGTTAAGAACAATCGAGACTCAGGACGAAAACTTAGGGTTTTCTTAAGCATCGCCTAAGGTGTACTATCATCAGAGTGTGGCTGCATGTGGTCGCCATCTCCGGGGGCGACGCTCGGAGGCGACACAATGGGGGCGACACAATGGGGGCGACACATGGGCGCGGCACCGCGGGGTGCTTGCGCCCACGCCGCCCCCCCCTCTTATCCGCGGTGCGGGGTGCAGTGCGCGGTGGGGTACGACCGCATTCGTTTCGCGCGAACATCACTAAAAGAGAAACTGAGGTCGGGAGCTTTTGCACAGCGCGTCGCGGCGGCGGCCCCGACAACACGCTGTATGCTCTGCGAACTGCTAGCGCGTGTCGCTCCGTTCCTCGGGGCGGGACGATGGGAACGTCTCGGGACGTTCACGCTTGGGCACGGGGACGTGGACGACGTGCCGCGCCGAAGCGTGGCGGGCCAGAACTGGCTGCGCGACACGTGCCCGGCGTGAAACCGACGAGGCCGCGTCACGGAATGCTTCCTGCAGCGGGGGTGGGAGGCAGCGCCGGCTCAAGAGAGCCGCGCGGACCGCAGGTCTGCGTCGTCCTCTTCACTTCGACGTGCGCTCTTCTCCCCTCCGTCAGGGGCGCCACGGCGAGCCCAGGCCACGGCGAGCCCCGGCCACGGAGAGGCTGCCACACCTGGATCAGAGGCACGGCCTAGCCACCGGGGCCCCTCCTGAGCCGCAGGCGGTCCTCACTCCACCGTCCGGTTGTGGCGCTGGTGGCGGTGATGGTGCTGGTGATGGTTGGGGACGGTGATGGTGACGGCCATTATGCTGATGCGGATGGTGACGATGACGATGATGACGAGGACGACGATGATGATCATGCTGATGATGGTGGTGGTGTTGATGGTGAAGATGATGATAAAGATGATGATGCTGATGATGTTGATGGTAATAATGATAACGATGACGATGATGACGATGATGAAGATGATGATGATGGTGGTGGTGATGATGATGACGATGGTAGGGGCGACGATGATAATGATGGAGGTGCTGATGGTGATGGTGATGGTGAGGATGATGCTGATGCTGATGATGATAATGATGGTGATAATGGTGAGAATACTGATGATGGTGATGGTGGTGGTGATGATGGTGATGATGAAGGTGATGCTGATGATGATGACGATGATGATGATGATGACGCTGATGCTGATGATGATGCTGCTCGTGATGATCAGCACTCGGCGGACGGCAGGTGATGACCACGGCAGTGCATCAGCGGCGGCACGGTGCGAGCTACGCGGCCTGGTCGGGCAGCTGGAACGGGTCCCTCCCCCGAGCCAGCAGCCGTACAACTCTGGAGCTGGTGCAGAGAGCTCGGAGGCGGCTCTCGAGCGCACGCGCCCCAACCTCCGATGACACTATGTGACGAGTGCGGAGGGAGTTGAAAGCGGAAAAGATAA